AAGTCTGAAATCTGAGCTCTGATACCACTTGTCGCGCGCCTATGCGGAAGCGTTGCACGCACACACAACGAACTTGTGATCACGGAAGAAGAAAGCCACACTCTTACACAAATCAAGTCAATTACGACAAATCAAACCAAACACAGAGATATACGTGGTTCGGCAACTTGCCTACGTCCACGGGGAGAGGATGGGGAGATTTCACTAATTCAAGGAGAGTACAAAGAATTACAAAACTCTCAAACTAACCTTCAACCAAAGATCTCACCTTGCTCATAATATCTCCCTCTCACAATGCTCAAAAGATTCCTCAATCTCTGATAAAAAAACCCTAACAAATCATTTCCCTATTTATATCAAAACAAAAACCCAATCAGACTGCAAACAGGAAACCTGATTATGCAAAAAGCCCATCGTAAGTCGACTTAACAGACAGCATAAGTCGACTTGGCAGAGAGAAAAAACAGCAACTGGAGACCACTTCATAAGTCGACTTATCAGGCCTGATAAGTCGACTTGGCAGAGAGAAAAAACACAACTCCAGTGCAGATCGTAAGTCGACTTGTGCACATTGACAAGTTGACTTACCATAAGTCGACTTAGCCTTGTGCATGAGTCGACTTATGCCAGAAAATCTGGTTTTTCTGATTTCTCCACAGGAATAGGAATATGTCTTTTCTCAAAATGTTCATTTCCTTTTTTTCAAGTTAAAACTGGGTCATGACTTTTATGTTTTTCCTACATTTTTATCTAATATGGAACTAAAATTAAATATAGAATTGAAATAGATGCAAGTGGGCAATCAATTGGTGTTTCATCTAATAATATTGACAATGATGATGTTAATCAAATAACCGATGTAAGAAGTTGGTCTAAAAAGTTGAAAGCCACAAAAGGAAGTGCCGAAACAAAATCAGAGTTGGAAAGATTTCTAAGCGAGGATGTTAAAGCCGATCAAAGTAACTTTGATATTTTAGCTTATTGGAAAGTTAATAGTGCAAGGTTCCCAATTCTCTCTTGGATGGTTCGTGATGTATTGATTGTTCTAATCTCTACAGTTGTTTCTGAGTCTGCATTTAATATAGGTGGCCGAGTACTTGATCCATTTAGGAGTTCATTGACTCTGAGAATGGTACAATCCCTAGTATGCACTTCTGATTGGCTCGAAACTTGTTGGCTACGCCGGGTTCAAGCAAAATTTGCTTTGAAGAAGATTTGGATGCTCTTGAGAAGTTAAGACATAGGTATTTACCATTTATGTTTTTGTATGTTAAATGATTTAATTTTTTATTAATTTATTATTTGTTTATCTTTCAGATTTGGGTAAGCCAATTGAACCAACAATCACATATTTGTAAGGTTTTAAATGTCGGCCGACATATCGGTTTGAGGGCTTGAACGATACGACATAGGTGTTTTCAACTCGTATGTCGGTTTTTAAGGTCAAATCGAAAATATCGGGGTCATATCGGGCATATTGATCGATTTTTCAGCTTTGAAAAATCGGCCAATATGGCCTTTTTTAGATTTATTTTTTGTTATCAAGTATGAGTTTAATGATAAAAACCCAAACTCATTTGACACATTCTTATGTTTAAGGGTTTCTTATGAACCTGATAGAAAGAAAAGAGAAAAATTAGGGCTGCAGCGGACTTGAGAACCTATCACTCATTTCGTGAACGACGACGTCCTTCCCCCACCTCCATCTCGGCCCCCTATCGTCCATCTCCCGTTGCGTCCGGAAATCCGAAACCCAATCGAACCCGAGGGTGGCAGGGTATCACGTCGTCAGGATAAAGGGAAGAAGGTGGTCGGTGACTCATCCGAAGGATCCCAAGCAGATGAAGAAGAAGAAGAAGAAGAAGAGCCCCAGCACTACCTCCCTGTAACGTCCCGTCGCCGGCACTGCCTCCCTGTGACGTCGGAATCCACCGATCGTAGGCGTCGCTTCTAGAATTTATAAAGTATGCTTATATTGAATTTAGGAATGCTTAGATTATATTTAGAACATGATATTATATATATGCACACCACCCGTTATGACAATCCGATATTTAGTTCATGTCCCCCGATATATCCCCGATTTCCGCTATCCGATATGAATTTTAGCCGTCCGACATGAACCCGACATCCGACATTTAAAACCTTGTTTGTAAGAGCTTTCATGGAAGAACACATGTAATGATTTTCCCCTGTATGCTATTTGGAATCGAAATATATTCGAGGTAATCAAGTGGTATAGAAATGTTGTACTTAGGATGGTGCTACAGGGAGAGTAATAAAAATCTTTCTTGCGTGCATGCATTTCTTAAATATTGTAGATTGTGAGAAGTAGATGATTTTTTAGTTAATATAATGAACTTTTTGTTAATCATATCTTGTATTTCAACTTATTTGCACCTCTGGAGGTGTTGTATTGGCTTCACAAGATGGGAAAATTGTATGTGAGAACACATTGGATGCCAAATCTACATAATAGTATAATACCTTTGTGGCAAAACTCAAATCTGGGTTTGGTTGTTGTACATATACTCTTTGTATATATCCCTACTTAATTACTCAATGTGGAGTTCGTCTTTACAAGGTTATTTAGAAGTTGAATGTTATTTCGGTAGTAGATCTTTGAGGTGAGAAGAACCATGTTGGTCTAATCATAATGGAATGTATCTTGATTTTCAACCTTGGTAAGTGGAGAAGTCTAGTAATTTTCATCAGCGTGGTACTGCCGTACTGGCTATAGTGTTCTTTGTTTACTCTAGGTTTGACATCTTAAATGGGAATGGGAAGTAGAAGGAAGAATGGTTGAAGAACTAACATGGTTGGAGATTTGTTATGGCTAGCGCTTGGCTGCATTCTTCTTCTAGTGTTGTGCACTGACAGTTTAAGCAAGGAGTTGAGGTTCTGTGTAGGTTTTTCAATTTTCATAGAGATGCCATGTACATGTAGTAGCATGAAGTAAGTTAAATTTTCACATTATGAAGTTAAATATATGTATGTGGTTTGCATGCGTCCTTTCTAGTCTGCATTGAATTGCTTAGAACCGAACAAACCAAACCGAACCACACCGAACCGACTTGCAACAGTTCGAATCGGTTTTGAATAATGGGCGGTTTGGTTCGGTTGTTCAAAATTTAATAAAAACCGAACCGACCGACCGTTTGCACAGCCCTAATAAGCAGCAATGATTTCATAAGATAGCCTAATCAATTCTTAGGACTAATTCAACTAATAACTCAGCAATTCCTAATGGCAATAAATACAAATTTCTAATGACAATGTAAATAACCAATTTTCTCTAACATCCTACAATGGCTTTAAGATATAGATAAGAACTCATAGGGCGCACAACATTACATATCCTGAGCTCCTTAAAGTCAATACACAGAGAACTTAATGCAGGAAGCTGTACATACAAGCCAGACCAACAATAGAAACTGGCAGTCTATGCTGATAATCCAACGAATAGTCAAAATTGCCAGAAATACGAAGCATTACTAAGAGAGAGATACTTAAGTTGTTAAACAGAAAGAAAGGTAAAGGGTTTAGAAGGTTGGACTTGAAAGAGTTGTGAAAGTGGAAAATAGAAGGAACCACGAAGGAGATGATAGAAACTAAATCAGCTTGAAACTTAACGAGACACATGACTTGATAGAGATATAGATTATAGAGTTGGCTGATCAATAACTGCAACATTTAGAACATGTAGGAACTGATTTAATTCGCCACCGACCAAAAAAAAAGAACTGATTTAGAAACCCTTGCAAAACCGATATTTCATTTGCTTCATTCTTTTTTCATTTTTTTTAACGGTTAAAAGCACATTGCCTCACAGAACAAATTATACACCAATTGAACATATGTACGAAAATTAATCGAAACGAAGAAGCATACCAAGTTTTTGGGAGCTTATCAAGAATACTCTCCGACAGTGATACAGCCAGAAGCAGTGGCCGACTAAGTTGCATAATTTCCGAATTATTGCTGATCGGCGAGATCGGATCACCACCACCACCAGAAATCTTATTCCATTCCACCAACAAATAAATTCCATACCCCACCATGGCCAATCTAGAGACCGTCAAGAGAAAATTGAGAAGCTTCAGAAGCCACTCAAGGCACCCTCGGCACGCCATGGCTGAAGATTTCTATCACTAAACCTTTCTTGCCCACACCGCCGAGATTGTTAGGATCCAACCAACTTAGGGAACCCACCCTTAAAAGCTAGCTGTTAAAGGGGAAGAACCAAGCTACTTAAATACCCCATCAAGTTTTCCATTTTACTCGATGTGGAACTTTAGGCAGCCCATACTACCCAAGTCCCTAACATAGCACCGCCCCTGAGAGCCAACGTCCCGGCGGCTGCACTCTATAATGCTTCACTCGGCGTTGCTTCACCAGGCCTTTCCGGTCAGCCCCTCCACAAGTAGCCCTTTTCGTGACGCCGACAACCAACTCTGATACCAATTGTTAGGATCCAAGCAACTTGGGGAACTCACCCTTAAAAGCTAGCTGTTAAGGAGGAAGAACCAAGCTACTTAAATACCCATCAAATTTTTCATTTTACTCGATGGGGGACTTTAGGCAGCTGGCAGCCCATACTACCCAAGTCCCTAACAGAGATCAAGTTACTAGCTAATTCAAAAGGCAAAATCTAATAGTTACAACAATCACTAGACCTGTCAATATAGAATTTCACTATTAATTACTGGTGAATTCACGCAATTTCTAGGGTTTAGGATACAGCGAACAGGGTTATATCCAAAATAAAATAATTAATCAACTGTCAACCCAAAATGGGAGACGAAAAGGCAAAAAATTTCGTGAAAAAAGTCTCATTAATTATTATGATTATTATGATTATTATGATTATTTCGATACCCACTTGCAATTGAGGCAAGAATGAAGATATAAATCAAAACCGTACATGATCAAGACAAAAAATTGGATTTTAAACAGAATTCTCCTCTTATATAAAAAGGAGGGAAAATAGGAATGATTACCTCGGATTGATACATTAGCTCGTAGTTTGCTATTACTCTCTCTCCCCACCCTTTTCCCAGACCTCTTTTTTCTTTTGTTTCTCAATTTTTTAACGGGGATTTCACATATAACCCTTACATCTTCCATATTGGCAACATTATCCTCTAATCCTATCACATTGGGCTTTTTCACCTCTCCCCCTTAATAATTTTAGTTTTAAATGGGAAAATGTCACAATCTTATTTGAAATTTTTAAAACTTTAATATTGTAATGTTTAAAGGTGAAAATGTGTTCAGGCCCCAAAAGCAGAAACTTCATGTGCTGTAACCCCCTTCAACTTTCCCCATGTGGTGCAGCCCCTTAAAATGTGATATTTTATGCTGCAGCTTTTTTAGCAATTATTACATGCCAACTAAACTAAAATCCCTAAAATAATAATATCCTCTCTCCTCAATCCCTCAAACCCAACTCTCTCTCTCTCTCTCTCTCTCTCTCTCTCTCTCTCTCTCTCTCTCTAAAACCAAGAGCTTTCTCAAGCTCGTCGCCCTGGCCCTCGCCCTCCTCGCCATCGTCGCCTCCGCCCATGCCCCCAAACGTCCCCTCGAGTTCGCCGTCGCCTCCCCTCCTCTCCTCCGCCCGACCTCATCGTCGTAGCTCGCCGTCGCTCGCCGCCTCGCCCTCGACTACGCCGGAGTTCGTTGCTGCCGCTCTCCGCCTTGCCCTCGAGTTCGCCGTCGTCACACCGCACAACTTCGCTTCTTAAGTTTTCCTGCTCTCACCCCCTGAAAGGTTCTATAAATATTTATCTCTCTCTTGTTTATATTTTCCTCTCAAATAATATTGAATCAGAATTTTTCAATGGAGGATCAATTGAAATCTGAGCAGAGCAACAAGAATCCTGATGACTCAAGATCTCATAAACCCCAAGGCCTCTCTCATACCATCATCCCTCACATTCTGAACTTGTAAGTCCTACTCTTTCTTTTTTTTTTTCCTTTCTTTTAAATTTTTTGATCAAAATAATTGGTAATTTTGTTTTTTTCAAGATATGAGTCACGAGCTACAGCTAAAGACTTTGAGATTTATGACCCTAACGCTACTTTTGAGGATCCCATAACGTTACTTTTGATCAAAATAATTCTAGTTTTAATTCATTGCTCTTGGGCTCTTGTGTTAGTTCTAACTCACCGCGTGTTAGTTCTAGTTCTAATTCATGGCTCTTGTGTTAGTTTTAACTCACCGCATGTTAGTTCTAGTTCTAACTCATGGCTCTTGTGTTAGTTCTAACTCACCGCGTGTTAGTTCTAACTCACCGCGTGTTAGTTCTAGTTCTAATTTGTATCTAGACTTGTTTGTTTCCATCTTCTAAACTCTATTGTGCCTTAAATGCAGGCTGGCCGATCATCTTATGTCTCACCTGATATGCTAGCTTTTGTACCCGACCCTGGAGCCATGGCGGCTGCAACATGGTACAGAGCATCAGCGCTCGCTGTTGAGAAGAAGATGCAGAATTCAAAGAGCTAAGACAATTTTACCTAGAAGATTGCGAGCTCCGTAGTTGACATAGATTTTTATCTTCTAGCTTTTCTTTTTTTGAAGTTTTCACCCTCTTTTTATCTAATTTTGTTTTCCACTTGTGCCTGTGTATGAGCTGAGAAGGCTGAGTATTGTTCATTTTCTTGGTAACATCATAACAAACCATATTATAAAAGGAAGAAGATCTGACACAGTTTAAAAAAAAATTCAAGTATATTTCTATGTTCGTATCTCTCTTTGATGGTTTTATTTTTACAAGTAATTGTCTGTGTGCTTCTATAATGTATTGTGGTCGTGATATCTCTATACATGAAAATTTCTCCCTTTTATCCTGTTGTTTGGATGGGTCCCCAGGACCCCAGCTCATGCAAGACCATGCAGTGATCATCTGCAGTAGCTTCTGAAGTGGCCATATTTATTTAGTTGTCATGTTCTTTCATCTTTTTATTGATGGCTAACACAAGAACCCAAGAGCCATGAATTAGAAGTAGAACTAACACGAGGTGAGTTAGAACTAACACGCGGTGAGTTAGAACTAACACGCGGTGAGTTAGAACTAACATGCGGTGAGTTAGAACTAACATGCGGTGAGTTAGAACTAACACAATAGCCCAAGAGCCATGAATTAGAACTAGAACTAACATGCAGTGAGTTAGAACTAACACACGGTGAATTAGCACTAACACGCAGTAAGTTAGAGCTAACACAAGAGTCCAACAGCTATGAATTAGAACTAGAACTAACACGCGATGAGTTAGAACTAACACGCGATGAGTTAGAACTAACACGCGGTGAGTTAGAGCTAACCCAAGAACCCAAGAGTCATGAATTAGAACTAGACCTAATATGTGATGAGTTAAAACTAACACACGGTGAGTTAGAACTAACACAAGAGCCCAAGAGTCATGAATTAGAACTAGAACTAATACGTGGTGCATTAGAACTAACACGCGGTGAGTTAGAACTAACACGTGGTGAGTTAGAGCTAACACAAGAGCCCAAGAGCCATGAATTAGAACCAGAACTAACACACGGTGAGTTAAAACTAACACACAGTAAGTTAGAACTAACACAAGAGCCCAAGAGCCATGAATTAGAACTAGAACTTAACACGCGGTGAGTTAGAACTAACACGCGGTGAGTTAGAACTAACAAGAGCCCAAACAAACGTCCACACTCCTTGGTCTCTCATCTCATTTTCCCTTATCTTTCTCCGAAAAAAATCAGAATTAAATCCCAAAAATAAAAAATATGCTCGCATAATCAAGATAGCCTCCGCTCGATGGCCGCAGTTGCTGCCTGCAACGACCGCGTCCTTTCCCTCGTGTTCCGATCACCTCCTAATCGCTCGCTTCTCCGTCGGCGAGGCGGTGTTCGGACTCTAACGAGGCCCTTAGTGGCGTGCTCGATGTCGTTTCCTTTCGAGGGGAGGGTTGGATGGCACCGGAGATTAGGACACGTGTCGCTGCTCTCATTTGTTGCTCTGCCCGTCTCTCGTTATTTTTTTCTTTCAATTAGATTGCTTCAATTTTAAATTTATGTGCACATGCACCTAAAGAGAATTAAAGAATTATAGTCGTATTAGTTTTTCTTTTTCCGTCAAGAAGCTATGTAGCTGAATGCAAAGTTCTGGGGTAATGCCTTGCTAGTTGTAAAATTTGGTTTATCTTCTTGGATCATTCTCTTTATTAGCAAAGGCTTAGTTGAACCCGAGAAAGATGATAATGTCTTTTAAGCTTTTCGCAGTTGTTAGGTTGGGTTGGGTTAAGAGAATGTGGAGGTGGCGACGGTGAGGAGGGCGAGGGCCAGGGCGACGAGTTTGAGAAAACCATTGGTTTTAGAGAGAGGAGAGAGAGAGAGATGAGATGAGATCTGGTGAGAGAGAACGCTGTAATTTGAGGGATTGAGGAGATAGATAAGGACATTTTAGAAATTTTAGCTTAGTTGGCATGTAATAATTGCTAAAAATGAGCTACAGCACAAAATGTCACATTTTAAGGGGCTGAACCACGTGGGGGAAAGTTGAAGGGGCTGCAGCACATGAAGTTTCTGCTTTTGGGGCATGGACACATATTTCCCATGTTTAAAATCAACATTGTCAAGTAGAGAGGTAGAAAAATTCAATGTGACAGAATTAAGAGTAATTTTACAAATATCAAGATTTGAGGACAATTTTAGAAATGTGAAAGAAGTAAGGGGTATATATGCAAAAGCTCTTTAATTTAATTAACTTTTAGAATAGCACGGTTCGTACACGTGGCTGTTACAGGAGAGCTATGGAGAGGAATAGATGGTGCAGGAATATGACAGTAGCAGAGAGTGGAAAACACCTCAAGGAGCCCGAAGGAAAACATAATTAATATAAGGCTTATTTCACTCGAGTACTCTTCTTTTATGAAATTTACTTTAGTCTACTAAAACTAACCTATCTTAAAATTTCAATCTCCTACACCCTAACAACCCATTAACATTTCTTTAGATTTTCTATAAATTTATATCATGTTCTTGGCATGTTAAACTCCTATTCACTACTATTGAAAATATTTAACAATTTAGATGACCAAAATGTAATACAAACTTAGTTGAAAGTCTAACAAAACCTAGGTGGTTGAAAATTTGAAATTTTTAGATATAAAAATGTTTAAAAATACTTTGAGGGTATGACCGCATGAATGAAAGTGAAATGTAGTAAACTTTTGGGCATCAAATTGAAAATAAGTCTTAATACTATTGAAACTATAATTTTGGGATTATTTTGCAAAGATGTTTATTCTTTCACTACTATAGTCGGCTAATAATCAAGATAACCACGATGCACTAAAAACACTACTATGAAAATGAGAAAAAATATTCTGACTAGAAATCCAATTTAGTCTATTAAAAACACTGTTAGAAATTCAATTAAATATACCAAAAATTACCTATATTTTTTAACACTTTCTTAAAAATTCAATATTCACCACTTTGACAACCCCATCTACATTTCATTAGATATTCTATATAATTATATCATGTTCTTGGCATGTGATGCTCCTATTCACTATTACTAGAAATATTTAAATGTTTAGATGACCAGAATGTAATACAAACTTAGCTGAAATTCTAACAAAATCTAGGTGGGTGAAAAAGATAAAATTTTGGCGTATCAAAATGTTAAAAATACTTTGGTAGTATTGCTGTCTAAAATGGAAAAATAGTAACGTTCTGAGTATCAAATTGAAAATAAGTCATAATATGTTATTGGATACTTTGCAAAAATGTTCTTCACTAGCTAGTCGGTTAATAATGAGGATGCTCTGAAAAGTATGTGAACCATCAAAATAAAGGGAAAAATGTTTCAAGACCCCAAAACCAAAAATCGGATGTGGGCAGCCCCCCTGTATTTTTTTTGGTGTGACAAACCCCCCAAAACCCAAATTAATACTGAATCAGCCCTTTTTTCATTTCCAAGACAACTTTAAGAGAAAAGTTCAGGCGTTCAGACCAAAATACCCTTTTGTACCCGTTCCCCCCTTCAGCCTGGCCGCCTTCTCTCTCTCTCTCTCTTCTCTCTCTCTGTATCTTCTTCACCGCAAACCTCCATTAGCTTTCGAACCCATTTTCAAAACCCTAGTTTCACTCAAGC